GATGATCTACTCAGGTCCCTACCGACCCTAGAAACTATGAAACTATATACCTACTATATATATAATTCTCAGTTGAGGTCAAGAACAAACTATATCCAATCCAGGATCAAAGACACTTAAGTCTTGTTATTTTCCATGTCACTAAGATTACAAACAAGAGTCAAATATCCAAAACCAGAACATCAACTAATATTTTCTTGCCCCCTGTCACAGATTGCCTGCTAAGGGGTGCTTGCTCAGGACTACTGTGGCTTTATTTGGTCTCTGAGTGTCCCCCGACAGAAGCCATGCCTGGGCTGGTGGAGCAAGGGGGCGCTCAGGCTCCCTCCCCCTCTGAGACCCTGGCCTTTTGGTCCCTCTCACTCCCTGATTCCCCATGACCACAAGGAGGTTGCAACCAGTTCTGCTCCTGAGAGAGAAGACCTAGAACAACCCAAAGTTTCAAGCGGCAAAACAGACAGTCTCTTCAGTAAGGGTATTTGCCAGAGCCAGAGACTCTGTTCCCCTCCAAAGGGGTTAAGCAGTCTGTCTCTTCCCAGTCCAGCACAAACAGCCCTGAACACCCTTAAAGAAAAAACAGGCTATTCTCCCATATGCAAAGTTATTTTAATAGATTTTAATAGATTTTCTTTCCCTATATGGACAATAAAGAAAAGTAATCCTGTCTTCCCAAGTGCAGCCAACTGAATTAGCATTATATGTGGACAGTTGTCGAAACCCCAATTTATATGATTAAGAACTATGGACACAGAAGAACAGTAGATTTAGTCCCTGTTTTTTTGCTAGATTAAGAGTAAGGTACTCTAGGAAATTAATTAATTATCTTCTAGTTTCTCATAACATTTTTTTGTCTTACCTTTTTCTGAAGGACATTGATTTTTCTTTCCTTTACTTCTAACATGTCTTTCATATCTCGAATCTCTCCAGCCAGGGTTCCCTTCTCTTCTGTGAGGTCTTGCAGTTGCTTTGTTTTTTTATTAAGAAAAGTTTCTTTTTCCTCCAGTCGTAATCTCAAGGCATCAACCTGTAATCAGTAAAAGAAACACACATTCAGATTTTGAGGAAAGAATATTAGTAAATACAAGTTTCAGTTATGTATGTTTTTCCATTCTAGCCCCCTGTTTTCTGTCACTTATGAAGCTTTCACCTTTTTGGCTAAAATTTTGCAGACCATATCTCTGCACAAAAGGTGTTTAAATTCAACTCAATGAAATAAATGCAGCTTCACATAAAAACATTTGCCAATCTAAGTTTTTTTTTCTGAACAGCTCTAAGGCAGTAATAGCTAGTATAGTACTTTGAAATTCAGTACTGAAACACCCTTGAGTTCTACAGGCAATGAATAATTTAGTAAAACATTCATTTGGATTTGATAATCCTACAGGTCACTGAAAACGACTTAATTCACAGGCAGTGCATTTTTTATTCTTTTCTAAGACCATAAGGAAATAACTAGGAACAGAGGCCGTGTGTAGATGAGACAAGAGGATTGTGTGCACAACACTTTAAAGTGGGCTAAATGCTTTTGCACCACTTTAATGGTGTCAGTGTTTGCACGCCTTGGCGGCATATTCCATGTTAATTCCAGCCGCTTTAGGAAATTCGGCGTCATAATGCACCTTAAATGAGGGACTCCTTGAAGGATTTTTAGTAATGCGCCTCAAGTGACTCCTTA